TTGAGACATTCTTGAAAATACAGTAAGAGAAGAAAGTAAAATGCAGGAATTATCTACACAATTTGCTATCGTTTGTTTTAAAAAGGGCGAAAAATGTGTGTGTATAAGCACAGATTATCTCCAGGAGGGTCAAACGCTGCTTGCCTCTGGGGGGGGAGCTGGATGGCTGGCGTAGATTTTTCATTACACACCCTTTGTACCTTTGAACCACGTAAATTACCTATGCAAAAGAATTAAATGAACAATTTAAACGTACTTGCCAAAGCATTCAGTGCTCTCCCTCGTGTATTGAGTTGCAGCATTCAGGGTTAAAGAGAACAAACCAAGGGGTTGTGAGTCCCATTTACCAGAGAGCTGGGGTGGAAGGGGGCAAGCGCCATAGGCAGTGCTGTTCTGAAGAGGTAATTTGCCCTCTGGGTGTTTAGTCATCAACTGTAAAGAACATAACAGCTTTCTGACCCTCCTGCCCCCAACATCAGTTCTATTCTGTACTACTTAGTCAAAAAGATAAGTCCTACCTCTGCTTGTCCTTATTCTAACTACTTCAAGAACAGGAGTCTTGGAGCTGGTTCCTTGCTTTCACTAGCTTGTAACATTGCGGTCCTACTTTCTTCACACACACACACACACACACACACACACACACACACACACACACACAATTAAGGCACAAAGTTGGCCACATATACAAAGACAAGAGGGAGGATTGCCTTTTCCCACAGCTGTTTATGGGTATCTGATGGAAATGAAGGTTTTTGATGTCCTGTGAAGACATCAAGGCAATGCTTTCCAACAAACACAATTAAGTGCTCTCTGTCACTCATTTTTTTACCTTTAGGTAAATACAATCTAATGCGATTTGCTTTCCCTTCAATTTATAACCCAGAGCTCAAGAATAAAAGATATCTTTGAATAAAAGGGCGTGCACCTATTTTAAGCCTTGACTAATATTCTGCTTTCCTCTCAGGCTTTTATGATTGGCCTCTGGTTTTTCCATAAATATGCATCCACTTAAAGCCACTGGGACTAAAATATTCAGAAAAGTTTGTAAATATAGAGCACAATAAAAACAACCTAACACAAGGTCACAGCACAGGGTCTTGCTGTTAGGACTCCAGCTGGCTTCTCCATTATGATTGATTAGAGATTCATTTAAGAAAATGCTACTTGGCTGAAGATTTGTTCTATAACAAAAAATAAGCAGGGCCCTGCTCAAATGCCAAATCCCTTATTTCCAATTATGTACTTTTCATTTTGAGGAGAACCTTATATTCAAGCCCTTCCGTTGACATTTATGACTCAAAATGCAGTAAGACTAACAATAAAGTATGAAAAGGAAATTACAAAAACAATTCCATTTAAAACAGTATCTCCCCTGACATCCCCCTGCCAAAAAAAAAGTAGGGATTATTTAACCAAGTAGGTGAAAGACTTGTATAATGAAAATTATAAAACACTGCTGAAAGAAATTGAAAACATAAATGAGATATCCCATGTTCATAATAAATCTATATAATAGACTTATTATAAAGATGCCAATATGACCCAAAGCAATCTATGGATTCGATTCAGTCCCTATCCAAATCCCAATTTTTTTTTGCAGAAACAGAAAAAACCATTCATATAGAAACTCAAGGGACCCTGAATAGACAAAATAATCCCAAAAAGAACAAAGCTGGAGGACTCACACTCCCTGATTTTGAAACTTACTACAAAGCTACAGCAATCAAAACAGTATGGAACTGGCACAAAGATAGAAGAATATGGGCCAACACAATCAAGTACAGAAATAAACCTTCGCATATGGCCAAATGACTTTTGACAAAGATGCTAAGACTATTTAATGTGGAAAATAGTCTTTTCAACAAATGGTGCTTCAAAATCTGGATATCTGTATGCAAAAGAATGAAGTTGTATCCTTACCTAATACTATGTATAAAAAAAAATCTCAAAATGGATCCACGACCTAAAACTATAAAACTTTGAAAACAGGGCAAAAGCTTCACATCATTGGATTTGGCAATGATTTCTTGAATGACATCAAAGGCAATAACAAAAAATAGACAAATTGGATTTCATAAAAAATTTTAAAATTTTATGCATCAAAGGACACTATCAGCAGAGTAAAAAGGAAACACACAGACCAGAGGAAATACTTGCAAATCTTACATTCACCACTTAACAAAGGGGATAAGTTTTGAGAAATGGGTCATTAGGTGATTTCATCGTTGTTTAAACATCAGAGGGTACTTATACAAACCTAGATGGTACAGCCTACGACACACCTAGGCTGTATGGTGTAGACTGTTGCTCCTAGGCTGCACGTCTGTACACCGTTACTGTACTGAATACTGTAGGCAACTGTAACACAATGGTGTTTGTATATCTAGACATACCTTACCATATAAAAGGTACACTAAAAATGTTGTAAAAGATAAATAACGACAGACCTATACAGGCCACTTACCATGAATGGAGATTGCAGGACTGAAGTTGCTGAGCGTCAGTGAGTGAGTGGTGAGTGAATTTCATTCACATTACTGTGCACTACTGTAGACTTTATAAATACTGTACACTTAGGCTACACTAAATCTATAAAACATGAGATTAAATCAAGTGTAAGAGAAAATTATGTAATCAAGAGAGCAAATACGAGATGAGGATGCTGCCAGCATAATATGGCACACTGTTTTGCAGCAAACTATTTTTATGTTTGTTTATTTTTATCCTCATCCAAGGACATTTTCTTCATTGCTTTTAGAGAGGGGGAGAGGAGGGAAGAGAAACATTGATTGGTTATTTCCCATACCTGCCCAGACCAGGGTTCCTTTGTGCCTGGACTGGGAATCAAACCTGCAACCTTTCCCAAGTTATGGAATGATGCTCCAACCAGCTGAGCCACACCAACCAGGGCACAAACTATTTTTAGAAGTAGAAAGGATACACTCTACAATAATGATAAAATGTGTATAGGAAGTACATAAATAGCATAGTCCTTTATTACCAAGTGTTGTGTACTGTAATTATATGCCCTATAGTTTTATATGACAGAGTTTGTTTACACCAGCATAACCACAAATACATAACATGTGAGTTATAGTGGCTACAAGGTCACTAGGCAACAGTGACTTTTCGGCTCCATTATAATCTTACAGGACCATTGTCCTATACTCACCCCATTGACCAAAACGTGTAGCACACGACTCTGTCTGATAAGGAATCAGTATTCCAAATACAAAGAGAACTTGTAAAACTCAACAGCTAAACTTGACTCAAAAATGGACAGAGCCCTGACTGGTGTGGCTCCTGCAAACTGAAAGGTCACTGGTTTGATACCCATCAGGGCACATGCCCGGGTTGCAGGCCAGTACCCCGGCTGGGGGCATGCAAGCCGCAGCTGATCGATGTTTCTCTCCCTCTTTTTCTCCCTCCCTTCCCCTATCTCTAAAAAATAAATAACATCTTTTTAAAAATGGTCAAAGAACTTGAATAGACATTTACCCAAACTATGCAAATGGCCAATAAGCAGACGAAAAGATGCAATGTCAGTGATCATTAGGATATGCAAATCAAAACTATAAATGAGACACCATCTCACTTCCATTAGATGCCTACTATTTAAAAAAAAAATCTGCAAAGTTGGTGAGGATGTGAAGAAACTGGGACACTTGTGCACTATTGGTGGGAATGTAAAATGGTACAGCCACTGTGGAAATAGTACAGCAGTTCCTCAAAAAAATTAGAATCACAATTACCTTATTATCACACAAATCCACCTCTGGGTATATACTCAAAAGAATTAAAAGCAGAGTCTCAAGAAGACTGTACACCCCTATTCATAACAGCAGCATTCACAACAGCTAAAACATGTAAGTAGCCCAAGTGTCCATCGACAGATGAATGGACAAGCAAGATGGGGTACATATATATAGATACTGTTCAGCCTTGATGTTCCAGAATCTTGAGGACATTATGCTACATGAAATAAACCAGTCACAAAAAGAGAAACACTGTACAATCCGCTGATACGAGGTATGGTACTTAGAGTTATCCAAATCATGGAGATAGAAAGTGGAATAGAGGTTGCCAGGGGAGTTACTGTGTAATGGGTATAGCTTCGGTTTTCCGAGATGGAAGTTCTAGAGATAGGTGGTGGTTATGGTTGCACAACATCAATGTATTTAATGCCACTGAACCAGGCACTTAAATATGATTAAGATGGTAAATTTTATGTAAATTTTACCATTATAAAATGAAGTTGGGAAAAAATGTTACAGGATATCTGAGGTTTCAATTATAATATATTCTCACTCAATATTATTTTTATAAGGTTCATACCTTCCTATCAATGTATCTGCATTTTTCTTTTAAAAGTATGTTTCTAGCCCTGACTGATGTGACTCAGTGGGTTGAGCTTCGGCCTGAGAACCAAAAGGTTGCCTCTTCGATTCCCTGTGAGGGCACTTGCCTGGGTTATAAGCCAGCTCCCCAGTTGTGGGCATGTGAGAGGCAACCAATCGATGATTGATGTTTCTCTCACATATCGGTATTTCTCTCCCTCTCTTTCTCCCTCCTTTCCCCTCTAAAAATAAATTTAAAAACATATTTTTTGAAAAAGAAGTACTATATATACCATTGATGTAAGACAGCAAATTGAAGCAATGGCATTGCTTCTACAAAACTGTTACCTGTTTAGCCTTAAAGTTAGACTTCACAGACATTACAGTAAACACACAACCAGTTTTGCTGCCTCTCCTTCCCAGCCCAAGTCTGTGCTCTGTGGAAAGTAAATCAGAATCAGAGCACTAAAGAACACTGCAACTTCTTAAATGAGTTACCACCTTTGAGGTACCTCATCCACATTAAGTATTCATTAAATGCTCCTTATTATTCCCTAGATGCTAGTTTTTAAGGCATAGGTAGAAGCATTTTTTCCAAACTTAAAAAGTAGGTTACAATCTCATTACGGAAAAGTATGATCCAGTAGAAAATAGAACAAATAGGATGGAGCAATCTTTTATTTTTAGCCACTTTCACAAAGAGGTTGTCAGTACACAAACTGTCCAGGAGAGAAGAACAAACATGAAACTCGGCCTTCAGGCATCGGCAGCTGCTCTGCTCAGGGCCTAGCGTCCCCCTCGCCCGAGTGGTGGGCTGGAGACGTGTACTTCCCCTCCTTTATTAGCTTGTCCCGCTGCTTCACAATGGTGCTCAGCCGTTTCATCTGTCAAAGACAAAAAGTATTTATAATAGGGGGAGAAACGCATCAAAAAGTGAGGGCTGAAGAAAATGGAAGGAAAATTGGTTTCATTTTTAAACTACAGAAGCTTTTCATCCTAGAGGGCCACTGAGATGAAACCTGTCTTTTAAAAACTGCCTTGAAAGCACTTCCCAAGCTTTTAACAAATAAACTTCTGGTATATATAAAAACATCTCCTTGAAAATTAACAACTAAAATGTTCCTATTATATATGGGAATTCAGATATTTACAAAAAAAGTGACAAAAACATACAGGTCAAAACCTTTAAGGGACATACTCATGCATACTAAAATCTTTTCAAATATTAAAAGCTGAAATCATCTCATGGCTTATATATTCCTGACCTCTCTATGTGAAGGTGGTACTGCCGGTGGTGACTGTTTGCTGGATATGAATGAAGCAGAAGTAGCCAATATAAGGTCTCTTTTTACCACACTGAAATTAAGACTTGATATATACTCAGTTACCTGTTGAGCCCCAAGTCCTGCCTCTTCTCAGATAGGGCATTCCCAGCAAATGAAAGTCATGCTATACAAGACTGTGTGAGTGCCATAATTCACATGGATTCTGTGACACAGAAAATACACTCACTAATCATGACTGCATTATTCGTCTGCTCAAAACTCAATGGCTTCCCATCTTACTAAGAGAAAAAACTGAACCTTTCCTTATAATGACTTATGAGGCCTACCCGTGCGACTGCATGTCTTAACACCCTTCCCCTAGCTCACTCTGACCCAGCTCAGGGACCTTTGCACTTGCTGTTTTCTCTGCCCAGCATTCTTCCCTTGTGTGTACTTGGCTAACCTTCTTCAAGTCTCTCCTCAAATGTCTTCTGTTGCTGAACTCCTCTCTGACCACCCTATTTTTAAAAAGGGGGCGAGGGGAGTATAAGGGGACTAAAAGATAATGTAAAACATAAAAAACAAAAAAATAAAAAAGGTTTTTCCCTGACTGGTGTCACTCGGTGGATTAAGTGCCAGTCTGCAAACCAAAGGGTTGCCAGTTTGATTCCCAGTCAGGGCACATGCTTGGGTTGCAGGCCAGGTCCCCAGTAGGGGGCGCACGAGAAGCAATCACACATTGATGTTTCTCTCCCTCTCTCTGAAAATAAATAAAATCTTTTAAAAAAGGAAAAAAAAAGGAAAAATCTACTTGGCTCCCATGCCCAGTGCTTTCTATCTTTTTCCTGTTTATTTTTCCCACTGCATTTATCAACATCTGACACACTATCTTTTAACTTATTTGTTAAACCTCTGCTCCCCTGCTCCCAAATAAGCTCCATTAGGACAGGGACTTTTTTGCTGCTTTGCTTACTACTGTATTTTGTGCCTAAATAGTTCTTGATAAAATAGATGACCCAATAAACACTTTCTTAGTGAATGACTAAATTTTTAGAAAATATAAACAATTAGTATATTCAGTTAAACATCCCATCAACTTTAAAGAATGAATCAGGATACAACTTCAATAGAACAACTCTAGGTATCCTAAATACTGACAAACTGTAACCATTTTTAAAAGACAGCATCCTTAACATTACTCTATGAGAATTTCCCAAAGGAGGACTAGTCATCGCTGAGGTATCACACCACCACAGATAAAATCTTCCTCTCAACTAGAGCCAATCACCACTTAATGTTGTGGATATAAGCACAGGCTCTGGAGCCAGCATTGCCAGGTTCAAATCCCATTTACACCACTTACTAGCTAATGATCTTAGGGAATGGCCTTAATTTTTCCTTGCCTTATTTTTTAACTGTATAGTGGAGGAAATAATAGTAAAGCATCTTACAGGATTGTTGGGAGAAATAAATGCATTATGACATGGTAGGCACTTAGTGCTTGATTCCAGCTCCTGAATCACTAGCTTCTTTGCCTAGGGGAAAGTATCTAGTGACTTAGTGTGACCTCTAAAACAGCAACATATCTATTCATAAAATTCATAGGATGAGGAAGTGACCTTGGGGCAATTCTTTAATATTTCCAGATAAGGAAATCAAGACAAAGAAGTGACTTGTCTCAAGTCACAAAATCAGTGGTGGCCAGAACCACATCAAACCCTCTTCTAACTCTCAATCCAATGCTCTTTCCACCTCACCACACTGCTTCTTCTTGGTGTAAATTTTTTATGATGAGTCAGGTTTTCATCTAAACAAGGAGTAACAGGCCCACAAAAAGAGAAGTTAAGGCATGTTGTGAACTAAGTAGCTGGTAGGTGGCCAAACATAGCCCACTCACTGTCCTACAATATACACTACACTATACTATTACTCACTTAATGATCAGTATTCCTGCAGAGATCGATACAAAATTACAACTTAATACACTCTCATTTCTTTCAAGTTTGGCTTCACTTTAACCAAATGCTAACAGCAACTATTACAAGAAATTTTATATTTTGATACAGGCCCTGACTGGTGTGGCTCAGTTGGCTGAGCGTCATCCTGCAAACCAAAAAGTCACCGGTTCAATTCCTGGTCAAGGCACATGCCTGGGTTTTGGGTTTGATCCCAGGTTGGGGCGTTTAGGAGAGGCAATTGATCAATGTTTCTTTCTCACATTGATGTTTCTCTCCCTTTCTCCCTCCCCTCCCCTCTAAAAATAACTAAAATCTTGAAAAAAAATTCAATTTTGATACAGATAATGTTGTGATAAATTTAACTGAAAATCTAAACTGTTTCCCTGAACTCCAAGAAACTATTATATCTGGAGCACAGAAATAGGCAAAATAACAGCACATACCCAAAGATTTCTTCTCTGAGGGAGAAGAGCACCCTGTATGTTAGGTAACTCACTCAAGTCTCCAAGAATGAGGCACCCTATATTAACAGCCCTTCTCCCCGCCCTGAATTTCTGGATAGGCTTACCTAAGGCCATCTCATTAACACCTCCATCTGCTCCAGAATAGCAATGAATCAAGAGGTTGTTACATAATAAATTCGCAGTGTTTTAGCATCTTCCCCAATGATTTTTACCCAAAGATTTTCACAGACAAACATCCAAGATACGTTGATATTCTTTGCTCTATGATCTACTACAAAAAGGGATAGACACAGACATGTAATTTCTAACCTGACAGCTCCAGCAAGGTAGGATACTAAGAGAAATCTGGGAGAAAGATGAGGAAGAACATGGAGGAAGAACATGGAGGAACAACAGGTCCTCCTCTGATCTGAAGGCATTTAACTTCCTTGACACGGTACCTAAGTAGAAGTGTTTCACCACAAAAGCCTTGCCAATTCACACTGGGTAAGTCTTTGCTCAATGACTGATTAAAAACACTGAAAAAATAGCCCCAAAGAAATAAGGGAGTAACTCGGCTCCCATCTCCATCACTTCCTCACCGTTTTCTGCCGAAGCAGGCATTCTACGAAATCATTATATTCTATCTTGCACTCTTTCTCTGCGCGGATACCACCAATTCCATGTGCACATTCTATCCATTCTTTTTCAAAAGCATGGCACCGAGACGGAATCCTGTGAGGCTGCTCAGCACTTTGGATTGTCAGCCAGCGGTCTAAGTCAATGCCCAGCCTTTTCTGTATATCAAAGAAAGGCATGGCTGAAATGGAAGATAAAAAAAATTATAATGTCATAGAAGTACAGTCAAATAATAAATTTCTAAGAAAAATGAGATTGTGATGATAAATTGCCCTCTAGAAAGACATTTTGCACTATTTTCCCAATTTCTTCTCACCAAATATTTTCAGTAGACAGAGTCTCCCAGTTTACAGCAGATGAACAATTTCTGTGCTTTCACAAACCCCAAGGAAAAGAGAACTAGAACTAAAAAGCAATGTATATAAAATACTCTTTATATTGATAAAGTCATTTTTATCAAAAGTCAAAAAGTGTTTATGTTTTGACTTAATCCCAATTATTTTGCGGCAGACCTGAATAACTGAAAAGGACAAAAAAGCATAAGCACAGGAACATTTCTTTACATATTTCTATCTGTATCAACCTAGACAACCTCCCCTGAGAAGCCACCCTGACACTGGCGTCCCTCCTTTCTGATAACACATCATTCTCAACATCCCATAGAAGTACTTCTCAAGCCTCTATAATGGACTATTTACCTGACTCTCTCCCCTATTGAACAATGAATGTGGTGAAGGCAAGGACCAGGTAGGGACCAGTAATAGTTTGTTAAAAAAAGATTAATTTCAAACAACTTAAACAGATCATTAAATCCAATACTTACTTAGAAGAATATGATAGGTATTCTGGGTGAGGGGAGGGGGGAGGATAATATACATGGGACACACATTTTAATGTCAAATAAATAAATAAATAAAGCAACACCGGTCTGCAAAAGAAGACTGGAAGAGAAAACGCACACACAAAAGGCAGTAGTTATGTATGAATAGTTACGTTAAGATATACAGGTGAATTTAATTTATAAATGTCCTGCCTATTCTTTAAGTCATTTACTGAATAATAACGTTCCAGGCACTGGAATGGGGAGGGGGGAGCAGTTCCAATGTATACACCAGAATACAGGCACACAGCGATTTTGGAACCCAAAAGAAGAAACATAAGAGGGTTTAAAGAGTTCAGGGGACGAAGCACCAATTCTGCCCAGGAGACTTGAAAATAAATGCCTTTTAGGGTGGGTTGAGTTTGCCAAGGGAAGGTCAATGGGCAGAGTATTTCAGTGGGGGCACGGCACAAGTTACAGCCGGAGATGCCGGGTATATCTGGGGGACACTGAGGACCCAGACATGGCAGGCGCGTAGAGTGCATGACTGTAAGAACGAAACGAGCTGAAAGGGTGGGCAGGGCTGCCATCACACAGGGCCGTGAAAGCCGAGAAAAGAAGTTTGGGTTTCAGGTTAAGGACCAGAAGGCCAAAGCAACCGTCTCAGCTTGCAAGGAGAACGGAGAGGCGCGGCCGACAGGCTTCGGTGACATTGGCTGTGTTGGCGAAAGGGTTTGAGAAAGCCTAAAAACACGCGCAGAGGTCGGCCCAGAGAGAACGGACACCCAACAAGCCAAGGTGAAATTTGTTTTTAAAAAGTCTCGGAATAAAGTTCCTTCGGCTTAACTTGTCCCCCCGCGGACATACGCAGGCCCTACCGTCCTGCCTCGGTGCCCTTGTCCGTTCGTTGGTCGCGGATAGTGGATGATCTGCAGGAGACACGGAGACCTGCCGCAAAGGACGCCAGCAGCGCGACGCTTGCAGCGCGACGCCGGGAGTAGACCTTTCTTCCGCAGTTCCGCCCCGGAAACCATAGGAACCGAGCCTGTCGATCTGCGCCTGCGCGGCTGTATGCGTTGACTGCTGGAGATATTGACGGTGGATAAGCTAACCTTGCTTTACCAGAGTCGAGTTAGAGACGGCCCAGCAGGTAGTGAGTTCCTGCTGCCTCCTAGCATTCTGTCAAACACTCTCACAACAGCTCTGATTCATGAGGGAGTTGACCAAGGCTACAAGAGGGAAAAAGAGTGTCTCCTTAGCCACTCCAGTAGAGTGGTTAAGCTCATGGACTGTGGACCACTCTACGTGGGTTCAAATTCTGGCTCAGTCAATTCGCTGTGATCCCTGGGAAAGTCTCCTAACCTCACTTAACCCCTCCCCGCTTCCTCAAATTAAGATTAAAATATTATCTTAAAAATCGCTCTGGCTGGTGTGGCTCAGTGTATTGAGCACCCACCTGCAAACCAAAGGGTTGCCGGTTTGATTCCCGGACAGAGCACGTGCCTCAGTTGTGGGCCAGGTCCCCTGTAGGGGGCGCCCCAGAGGTAACCATACATTGATGTTTCTCTCCCTCTGTTTCCCTCTGTCTCCGTTCCCCTCTCTAAAAATAAATAAAATCTTTAAAAAACAAAACAAAACAGTACCTACAGTGTAGGTTTGTTTTGGGGATTAAATAAGTTATGCATAAAGCACTGAGACTTTATGTTCCTGGAATATGGAAATCTTCCTAAATCAATTCCAGTTCTTTGATGTCTCTGCTTCTAAAGTTTGCGGATTCGAGGAAGTTGACAAAGACTATGTTTTCCTCTGTTTTGGAGAACCTCCAGTGGCTCCCTTTGACTACAGCAGGGCCTCCAAAGTGGTGTATATGTGTGGGTACCACAGGGTGTGTGTGATAGGATACATTGGGGGTGTGGGAGGAAAATACGAGAATACTTCTGTTTATCTAATCTTTTAAAAATTTGGTTTTTTGTGTGTGTGCACAAATGTTTATAAAGTGTGTAACATCACTGCAGTGGTAAATAAAAATAACTAGTAAATAAGTATTTGGGGAATGGGCTCAAAATTTCTTTTCCTTTTAAGTGACTTCTCAAAAACGTTTAGATAAGTCCAGCCTTCCAATTTTCCCAGCCTCAGTGTCCAAAATCCCCTGCCTAATACTCCAACCAAGAGCTTGTTTCAGTGTATTCCAGGAAAAGTCCTGTCATCCAGTCTCTTGATTAATTTTAGTCCTTTCCCTGGGAATGACACCATTTCCAACCCATCTCCATTTTTGCATGCCAGATTCTTGGTTTACTTCAGGACTTTGGTATTAGTTTTCCCCCAAAAGGAGTTAAATACCCCTAAGCCCCAAGGTCACCCACTCTGCAGAGAATTCCTGAGGTCTCACAATTTACTGGTTTTGTTGAAGCGTTCCAAGTCTCCCTTTCCCCCATCAGATAAGAGTTTTAAGTCAACATACAGCTTCCTGAGCACCTAAATGCATGCCCAGCAGAATATTGGGGGCTCATGGAATTGTTAACTCATGGCCCTTGCCCACAAATATTAGAGATAGCAAGGTCTTGAGTCACCACCTTTTGCACTTCTCCCACTTTCTTGTTTATGTTGGAAGTATCCCCTTCCCAGCCATTCAGACAGGAAACTCTGAAGTTATTTTGCCTTTTCCTTATCTTCCATCCAGTATTTAATTACTGCCCAAGTTCTCTCAAATATTCCTTCCACAGGTTTTTAATTTCTTTCTTTCTGCCTCCCTTCACTCCAGTCTCTTTTTCATTGTCTAATCTTCCTCAAATACTAATTTCATTGTATCATTCAGATGGGCAACTCAGATGCCTCCAAGGCCCAACAGAGTTCACTGTAAGGAAATGAAAATGAAAGGACCATGATAAATGGTAACTAGTGCTTGGCCTCAATTTGGCTGATAGGAGGAGTGGTGGGAAATATGACAAATTGGAGGGGCCATATGTCTGTCCTGTCTAAAGGCAGCAGCAGCTACTCAGCTCCATCCTGTTACTGTTGAAAGAATAAGGGCCTGAAATGATCAAATTTCCCTATTTTTCAAGAGAAGCTAGAAATCTTGTTATTGTTTAAATGTGAAACCCTCCACTTTTAAAATGCAAAACAACTTACTTTTTTAAAAGTGCTGGCCAAACAAAACCCAAAGTGGAAATGACTCTTGCGCTGCTCGATTTTAACCTTTGGATGGAAGGGGAAATGAAGGTGGAAAAACAATTTACTTTGAACTATGAAGTCTTTTACATATAGCCTTGCTCCCTTATGTTTATTGCTTGGGTTGTTTTTCCAAAACTCAAATCTGATCATTCAATAAACACTGTCTGAGCTTTTACCACATGCCATGGTCCCTGTTGAGCGCTGGGGATGAATGCACAGTCAGAATGTAGTGGCAAGTGATAAAACAGAGGTGAACAAAACAAGGGAGAACACAAAGAAGGTGGTCATTCATACTGCCTGGGCTATGTCTGAGGCGTCAGTGTATTCAAGAAAAAGTCCAAATCTTGAGTTTGACACTCAAGACCCTTCATGATCTGATCTGTTCCCATTTGAGTTCTCAGATCCCTTTGCTTACCAGCCCCTACTCAACCGCCTTGTGTTCCCAGCCATTCAGAATTGCGCTCATGCTTCCAAACTGCAAGAGCAGGTTCTTCTGCCTGGAATGATCCCGCCCGCTCACAGCCGCCTCCCGCTGTCTCCCAGGTGAATACCTAATCTGTCCAGACTGTATATTACGCCATTTTCTGAAGGGTTCCTGAATTCCTCACGCATTTACTAGGCCTTTCTTGAGATCTTGGCAGCCCTGTAAGCTTCTATTACATTGTTAACTGTTGGTAACACCGCCCCTCTCCCTGGGGCCGTGCACACAGCGTGTCAGCATAGTGTGAAAGATGGCGGTGACAGGTCTTCCCCCTTACCCCCACCTCAAATAATGGAAAACTACAATGCCCAGAAATCCCACATCAGACCTGGGCCTGCGCCGTTGCTACAGTGACCACGGGGCCGCTGCCATTGCAAGTGTTGTGCTTACGTCACAAGTGACGTAACTCTCAATATTAGGGTTCCACGTCGCCCTATTTTACTCCTAACTACGCCCCACGGACCTTTTCATTGCTTTGCTGTATGGATCCTTTGCTTCATGGAAGTGTGACTTTTCAACCAAATTAAAGGACTTTGTGCGCAGAGAGGCAAGCCTGAGCTGTCGCTTCTTCCATTTTGTTTGGGAAACCGAGGCTCAGAGACTAGGTGGAAAACGACCAGGCGTTCGCTGCGGCGATCTGTTCTTCCAGAGCATAGCCTCGTTCCCATCTTCAAGGCAAAAAAGATGCCCCAGTGACCTAATTGAAGGCCCCCATTCCCAGACCTCTGAAAACTAGCCTCAGATGCTGCGTCAGCACCGGCCATATCTGAAGTCGCTTCTGTAAGCCTCCACTCACAGGACTTCTGTCCTTAACCTGCAGGGTTTCCTCCTGTTTACACACCTCTTAGTCATAACCCGAGAGAAATTTTATCACTACTCTTCTACAGATAGCCATCTATATTTTAGCACACTGGGTACATTAGGTCTGAGTCTGATATCACTGCCATACAGATTTGAATAAACTGGGTAGCTAGCCTGTGGATCCCAGCACATTTGGGGAAGATAGTGAGTTTGAAAACTTCCCCCACCCTCACTCCCAAGCCGGGAGCTGTAAGATAGAGGCAACAAAGCCAGTAAGCAAAGTAAACTGAAAGAGAAAGTAGTGCGTCCCAAGGCCTGGGCTATAATGGAAACCAAAGTGGCCTTTTAAACTTAAAAAAAAAAAAGAAAAAAAAAAGGGTGGTGCCACTTGGGGGTGGAGAAAATATCAAGTTGAAGATGCAGCAGGACCAGGAACCATTGAAGCAAGCTAAAGAGGAAGGATGTGCCAGACTCATGGTTGTAGAGGTTAACTAGACGGTAAGCATTCCATCCCTAGAATTAACTCCCCTCATTCCGATATGTGGTGCTGTCTCTTGACTTTAATTAGGCTTCCCAAGTAGTATGATAACATGAAGAAAACACTGTTAAGACTGATGGGGCAGTCTACTGCTCCTGACATATTTCACATGATAAATTAATACACTGGAGTCTAGTTTTATAGACAAATACAGTGTTATTAGTGAGTCAACCTTCCTAAGTACAGATTAGGGAAATTACCTGGCAGGAACCAGCTGGGGCAGCTGAATAGCTTTCCTTAGGAAATACCTTACTCTCTCTCCAGATGTACCGAGTACTTACCAAAGCAAATTTCAATCACACTTCTGACATGGACTGTGAAGCTTCTCTAGGGTGAGAATTGCATCTTTCTTACCCTGGCTGCAGAGGGACAATCTGCAAAAGGCTTAAAATTACTTGACCTGTCAGTTAAGGAAAAGAGTTTCAGGTAGTGCACTGATGACCAGAAAAGAGGAGGAACAGCCACATAATTCATTTAGGAACCAAGAATGGAGAGAGAGATTATTAGCAAGGTGTTAAGAGCTCAATATAGTGGGAGACTTTATCAAATAGACACATAAATGCATTGGATATCTTTAGAAAGTTGTAAAATGAAATGCTAAAATGAAGTAGTGTATAAGTAGTACACCTCCTCAGAAAGGTCTTCCTTACAATCCAATTAGGCATCTAGTTACAATGATACCTTGGTACTCATTGTTAATTCGTTCCAATTGAGTGGCGAGCAAGTGACAATTGATGAAGCATTTTCTCTCTTGTGGGGTCATGTTGTGACTCCTACAAATTCTAGCACATGCGACAAGTGCTAGGAACTGAAATGTTTCAGCTACGAGTGCTGACACATTTTTTTTCTCATCAAAACGTGACATGTACCAGGTGTGACAAGTTCTGAAACCGACAAGTACCGAGGTACCACTATACTATCATTACCATTCAGTTTTCTTCAAACACTTAAATCATGCATTAATGTTTTTACCAGTTTGCCTGTTTTGCTTAACAAGAATG